TGTTTCCAGATTTTATGCTACGCTAGGCTAGCCAACTGCTGGGTAACTTCATATTTCAAGTACAGACATGAGAGTAGTAAACAGAAAAACATCTTTTTTTAAAAAAAAATTGTTTGTGTCACTTTACTACAACCGGAATACTCACAAAGACTTTTAATAAGTACGATTTTTATTTAACCTTTATTTAAACAGGAAAAAAAACAGGAAATTAAGATTAAAAACCTCTTTTACAAGGATGTCCTGGCCAAGAGGCAGCAAAAGTTACAATAATGATAACCGTGGTGGCAAATTTGTACTTGCAGAGTCACTTTTTCACATTTTTTTCCTACCTCTGGTCTCTGTCAAGGAAAAGCAAAAAAGAACTGAATGGAAGACTCATGGGAGCCGGAGCTCAGCGGTAGCTGTGTGGCATTAAATTTTTACAGGCAGGAAGGGGAGATGTGGTTTATGGGCACCACAAATCTGGGCCTTTACACTCAATGAAAGCCCACAGTAAATATCAGCTTTATTCCTCTTAAAGAGCCCCACAGACTGTAAATGCTGATGGCTTTGAAGGCCAAGAGGTGCAGGGAAAATGAGTTGTGTGTAGATGTGTGAGACAGAGAGGGAAAAAAAGAGTGTGCTGCTAAATACTAAACCATGTGCTATACAGAATACTGCAAAGCGAGATTGTCTTTTAATGTGCGCTGGTATTCACATTTAATCCTATATGCTTTTATGAAGATTTTGAGAATTATAGGAATGAGCCAGACTTTAGTATGTTATCTAAACGTGCTAAACTCCTTTTATTTGCTCCTCTATGCAAATCCCTTTACTGTACATGGAAGAGGGGATTGAACGTAATGTGATGATTTAATGAGCCTCTAAACTGGATATGAGACTGCAGAGAATGTTTATCTAATTAATGAATGCCATATTTCATTATTTTAGCAAACGAAGCATTGAAAAAGCTGTATTCCTGGTATAGTTACACAGCCATGCAGTCACAAATCATATGCCACATATGATTAGAGAGTGGAGAATGAAATGAAATGAGATTATTAAACTTTGTCACGGTGCCTGTAGCCGCAGACACCTCATGATTGATTGTATTAACGGCGACTGGTGTTGAAGTCTGACTAGTGTGCAGCAGCTTTGCAGCTTCATTCACCCTCCACCCTGGGCTGTGATTTGACCCAAAGCTGAATGTCACGCATCATAAACCAGACCTGGATGAGGGAGTAGGGGGTCTGTATGAGAGTGTCTATGTAACATGGCTGTGTGTACTTAGCAGCAGTGCATATTCCAGCATTTGAAAGCATTATATACAGTATGCTATTTAAAGAAATGTACTGCTGGCACAGAGTTATTAAAACCCCAACGGTTCATACTCCAATATGCACTCATAAATCTCTATACATTAACTCTGTGAAAGCTCTACCATATAATACTGAACTGTACTCGTACAGTACAGTAATGTGTCATTTTCTCTCTCTGTAAACATCACCTCAAGTTCGTATCAGGTCAGCCAAGTTTCTTAGCCAATCAGCTTTGCTCTTTCAATGGTACTTTTCCTCTGTCCTTGCATGTTTCCTGTATATAAACACTGTACGCACAACTGTTACTTACAATGCCAAAAAAAAAGGCCGCAAAATCAAGGGGATTTTATTTTTAATAGAATAATTATAGGAAAAATCAGTCGTACCTTCCAGCAGCTGGTCCAGGACCAGCCTGTATCGTCATTTGTGAAGGTCTCCTTATAGTAAATCTGTTAAATCGAAGCGCTCTGGAAGGTCAGTCAGTGCACAGGGAGGCAGGACGAATACATGTGACTCTACATTTATACGTGTCGTACACACGCACACACACACACACAGAGACAAACATGCTTGACTGAATGCTCAGAATGCAGACACACATATAAACTCTGTATTTCCACATTAGCAGACACCCAGCGAACTGCCCTTCCTATTGGAGAGGAAGGAACCCTAAACTGGGGAAACACCTGACTGTATCTGATGGTTTCACATGACCCTTTGGCCTCATTGCACCACCGACTGCCGCGGCCAGTCTCACCTTTTATTTCCTTTCTCTTACAGAATTAACCCCATCTAATCAGATGACATATTCAACTTGTGCTGCCGCTGCAAAAAAACAAAACAAAACAAAACATTAACAATAATAACTTTTCCAAAACAATATATATATATATATATTAACCTTCTGAACTCTAAATACCGCCGATATGTTTGAATGCTGTCTTTTAAAGTCTGAATTTCACCATTTATCAGAGCCAGAACAAAGTCCTTGAACAAATAATGTGCCTTGCATAGTTTGGGAAAATGAACCAAATCTAAGCTTGACATTATGATATGATATCAGAATCACTTTATTCTGTATTCTTTGTTCTTTATTTAGTTTTTTTATTCTGTGTGCCTAATCCAAAAAAAAAACAAAGGGTTCTGTTCAGATTCTGTAAAAAGAGTTAGCCATTAGTGTCTCAGAGAGTTTTCGTCTAAACTGGGCTGAACTACAGGCTGTGTTTAAACAGAACAGATAGATTTACATAGATAGATATTAATAATATAAATACTGAAATATTTATAGCACGCGGAGTCACCATTTTTTCCACTATTGGTAACACCTGTGGGCTCTTGGAAATGATCGTACATGTTAATTCCTTTTTCTTTTCTTTTTTTTTTTTTAATTTTTGCAAAAATAAATAATCAAGGAAATTCAACTTTGTTTCTTCTTTCTTTTTTTTGATTATGGCATTATAACTTTGTTACACTGCACAGAAAACATGTTTGGGTTCTCTCTCCTTTTAGACATGGTTGTGCTATTGTCATACAGGAGCAGCACTTTATGTTGCAGTGACAAATGAGGCCACAGTCAATAAAAACCTGGAGCAAAAAGCACCCCCAAACCCTTTAGGCTTCACAAGCTTCAATATTACATTCATTATTATTATTTTAGATGTTGTTCTGTAGATGCCTTATACAAAGTGTGTATTATTGTAGAACAACTGTACATTTTTAGCCCACATGGTAGAAACTGAAGACCAAACTCAGGCAGTTTGAGAGCCAAGCACATTTCTTTCACTTCATCTCCTCATTTCTACAATGTGTGATGAATCCAAGGGACAAATCCAACTGGCTCTCCATCTCTCTCTCTGTCTGTGCCTCTTTTTTTTCTATTCTTGAGATGAGTCCAGCTAAAACACATGGGTCTGGGCAGTGCGGTCAGCGTGTCTGTTCAAAATGAAATTTAATTTGATGATGAAATCTTAATGCAACTGGCTTTGGTGAATTTAAATTACAACTCTTTGCCTTAATGAGCAGCTAAGTGGGTTTGGCTGTTAAACAGATAAACATCAGGTCATTCATGCATGTCTCTGAGTGTGTGTGTCTATATAAATGCCACTGGTAATGAATGATAGATGTACACATGTGAGGAACCAAAATCAATGACCCTTACATAATTGAAGTGTGTGTGTGTGTGTGTGTGTCGCTCACACTCCAGCTGACTAAACAAGGCTGCTGTTGGTGAGCTGGTGAGGTGAGTGGCTGGGTGGTGGCTGTGACTGAGTGACAAATCCCTGGCTGTGGTCTGACTCACTCGTACACTGACAGACACACACACACGTGCAAAGTTTTCTGGGGAAAAAAAAAAATCAGACCATGCCTGTTGCATGCATGGATAATTGATATGTTTTAGTTTATTTGATCACAAATATTTTGATTTACATTTGCCTATTTGTCTGTATGTTAATATATCATGTTTGCATGATTGTGAACCTAAGTTGAAAGAGTTTGGGATGTGAGAGTAAATTGCACATAGACTCCAAGCTGTAAATTTTTTCATGGTTTCACTCAAGCAGTGAATCTTTCTGATTAAACACTGAATCAAAAACTTATATTGTAGCCCTCATAACACCAACAAACAACAAAAACAATTAGTTTTCAGTTTTGCATTTAACTTTGCAATGTGAAAATATGCAGACCAACAACCAACTGCAATTTAAGTCACTTATGGGTTCAAGGCCTGAGGGTTTGCTCGCTCATTTCTTAGTGTGAGTGTCGAGGGACAACTGCCTCCTGCATGCAAACCTTTGGAGAAGTCAGGATCCTAATTGTTGCCACAGACTCTCCCTCTCATTGTCTTTCTCTGGGAGGTTAGTTATGAAAAGGTAACCAAAACAATAAAATCAATGAAGCAAGACAGAAAAAGTACGAAAGAGAGAGCCCTTGAAACCTCAGTGGAAAGACTGTGTCACCATGTTGGCTTGAGCGAAGTGACCAGTGCCAGCAATGACCTCTTCAACTCTGAAAACCAACCCTGTACCTGAGACTGTCTACAGCCGTCTGCTGGGCGGCTGCTGCAGAATGGAAGAGAGATAATTAAGAACAAACTGCAGGGCAGGAGGGTCCGTAAACACAGTTCTCGCTGTCTCACTACTTGTGCTCACGCCAAGCAATATCTGACTGCTGATGAATTCAATTAGGCACACGTTCAAATGCATTAGAAAGCAGATGAATGCGAGACTCGTACAACGCGGTGACCGCTGTAATGAGCACTTGTGCCTGTGCTCGGGTCTACGCCCTTGCATGTGTCTCCACCCAGCACATTACATGAGGCGTGTTGTGTTATTCTTCTGCTCTCATATTCAGACTGTAATGTGTCATTTTCACAGGGTTTAATTGTAAGTTTTTGCATCATCATTTAGCCAACGATGGGTTTCTGCTGAGCACGTTTTATCATCGTCATGCAGCGAGATACGTTTCAGTAATTCTAAAGAGGACAAAGACTTCCTCATTCAAAAAATGTTTTGCTTTTTATGACTTCACGTTGATGTTTGACCTTAAAACTATGTCAGATACAAGTTATGATTCCAAGTAGACTATTTTTAAGACCATGTGTGAGCAGTAGATGCTATTGCACAAATTCAACCCGGCAAAACTACATGAAGTATACTTAAATCTTGATGTGATTTCCTGATCGTTTCCATCCTTCTGTTCCAGATTATAACAGCAGCGATCAGAAGACAGCATGCCGAAGACATGAGCTGTACGTCAGCTTCCGAGAGCTGGGCTGGCAGGTACTTTGTTGTTCAGTACATTTTAACAAGTCCTATTACACGTGTGTGCTGAGCAGGTAAGGTAGTAGCAGTCCTCACAGCTAATATAGTGTTTATTGACAACTAGATGTTATATGTAGAACAATGTTAGAGGCTAATAAAAAAATTCTAAGTTGAATTTGGTGCGCGATGGATCCACAATATTGGATGTAAATCTACATCTAAATCTAAGTGCTTTACACACACACATACACACACACACACACACACACACACACACACACACCACAACAACAAAGACACAAGTAAAATACATTAATAAAAACTAGAATGACTGCATTACTACCCAGCCAAACAGTTAACACCCATCTCTCCTGTCTTGACTAGTGTGTGACTTATTATGGCAAAAAAAAACCCCAAAACACACAAAACAAGACATTTTGTGAGGTCAGCTTTGACCTTTGACCACCAAAATCTAATCAATTTATTGCTAAGTCCAAGTGAATGTTTGAGCCAATTTGAAGACACAGTGTCCAAGAGATATTGTGTGCACAGATGCAAAAAGACCTCCAGCCACTGATGTCGCCAGTCAGGAGGTACAATAAAAATGACAAGAACAAAAAAGTATGTGATTGTAATAATAATAACAATAATAATAATGATAATAAAAAGAATAGGAGTGATTATAATTTTTTGTTTTATCTGGTATCTTTTCTCTACATACATATACAGTCGTGACTTGATAATCCGACCCTTAACAATCCGAAAACCTTGCAGATTTTTAGGAAAAATGGATGCAACCCACGAACAACAGCCTTAACATACCGACAGCCTTGGATTCTGACTCCATTTGTGACATTTTATGTCACAAATAAGGATAACGGTGTATTATCTGACTTAACAATCCGACAGATTGGCAATGTTCAGAATGCAGGACTTAATGCTCAATTTGGATTTTTTTGTGAAATCCCTTTTTTTTGCGAGTTTGTTCACATTTCCAATTGAATGCAACTTGTATGTGATCTGCTGTGTGAACTTCATACGACCCAAAGTGTCGCCCAGAATAGGACACAACGGCGTCACACGTAGCGAGCATGCTCAGTATATACGGAAGTACAGACAGATGTTAATAGTGGAGCGTATCTTGGCCGCCACTCCAAGGCCATCGCCACCACCACCGATGGTGGAAACAGACCTGTGATCCTAAACTGGCATCAGCAGCCAGGTACTACCTGTGCATTCTGGCCACTTCCACACCGGGGTTGTGCTCCGACAGGGTGGAAGTGGCCGGAACATGCACAAGCGCACTGGTCAATAAGGCGTGAAATCCAGCGATGCATACTGCTCTAACAATACACTAGTTATTACAACAACTATAAACAATCAATATTAACAACAAAGTACCCTTCAAGTATCAAGCCCTCCTTGTATCTCGATCTCCGTCTTGACATTCCAACGGCCTTGCTATCTGACATAAAAGAAGGTTTTACAATTAGTATCGGATTATTGAGTCATGACTGTATACTGTAAATGTCACAGACCCAATGCTATCTGAGAGAAAAATGCACAAATGTTATGGCTGAATCTTGGAAACCGTTAGATTCAGCTTCAGGTGGCATCTTAAACTGTTAAGAAAACAGCCAATAAATCAATTCTTCACCAGTAGCTGTATCAAGTATCCACCTCTTGTAAGATACATGTTCGTTCACATCCTTATATGCCATTCTTAGAAGTAAATGAAGTAAGCAAAACCATCCCGATCGTGTCAGTAATGTTCTTAGTAAATGAACACTTAAGCTTAAAAAATATCACTTCTGATGCAAAATAACTATTCACACTGAAAACCACAGAGTAGTTCAGTGAGGTGTTTTGCCACCACATGCAGGCAGAACAGCTTCAGTGTTCCTTGGCTTTGATTCTCCAGGTCTCTTTAACTCTAGCAGCTGGATGAAACAAACACCATTCTCCCGAAAGATATTCCCTTATTTCATGTTACTGATGGAGGTGGCGAGCACTTTTCATTGGGTGAAGATCATTTTGATTAAGATCATTTTTATACACATCATACCATTCAGTGGTCCCTCATGCCCTATGGACAGGGGTGTTGCCATTCTGGAATCATAGGATAAAGTTGAGCACACAGAACAGTTTTGCATTGATTTGCTGTGATATTTTTCTTTAAATCTTACCTGCAAAATGCCCCGCAAAGTGTAACAGAGCACCAGATCACCCATCTGTGTACACTCACTTTATTAACACCACCCACCACTATCGCAGGATGACATGAAACTAGTATTATGAAGCAAGACAGAATGAGCTGTAGAGAGCCAGTTAAAAGTAGCTCAATAGGAGTACATTGACGTGCGTGTGTGTGTGGTGTGTGTGCGTGTTTACTAGGAGACATAGGAAGAAATAGGAGAGCAGGGCAGAGTTACGTACATCCTTCCAAACAAGCTGTGAGCTGTTAACACAGCACTGACATCTAGAGGGAGACTGCCAGCAATCTCTCACACGCAGTGGTGTTTCCATCACTTCAGGGGACATTACAGTGATTTACTTTCATTCCAAACATAAAGCCATAACATGAAGCCATCCTTACAGTTGCATGAACTAAATCCTCAGACTAAAATAGAATGATTTACATTATGGAGACCGTCTTCTTGTCCCCATCAGTAAAGCAGGTGTGACTGTGTACCAAGATTTATGTCCCCACAACATGAGGAATACCAGAACACAGACACACACACACACACACACACACACACACACACACACACAGTGAGCTGGGCAGAAAAAGAGAGAGAGACTGGCGAAGAAGCAACAAGAGAAAGACAGACAGTTTATTGACACAGACAGGAAGGTGCATTAGATTAAAACACAAAAATAAGTCAGAATGAGGTAAAACGTGCCGAGAATTTGCCAGAGCTGAACAGTAAGACACAGAAAGGAAAGAAGGAAGAGGGAGAGGAGTATTGCTTCCCAGAGCGACTTCACAGACTGCAGTGTTTTAATAGTGATTTGTCCTCAGACAAGGTTAACCCTGATTTTTCTAACAGCAGTCAGGTGGCCTCCTGTAGAAGTAGTGTGTCCTCTTCTTCTTTTCTAACACTAACCAAATAATAAACATTGAGAGTGACTTGCACTGCAGCCAGCGACAGTTTACAGTGCTACAAATACTAAGTGGCATAAACTATAAAGACGAAAAAATACCACAACAATTTTCTTGACCAAGCAAACTCCATTTGATGTGTTTCTCAAAGGACTGGATCATCGCTCCCGAAGGCTACGCGGCCAACTACTGTGACGGAGAGTGTTCCTTCCCCCTTAATGCCCACATGAATGCCACCAACCACGCCATTGTGCAGACGCTGGTAAGACCATCCTGCTACGGTTTACCGCACTCACTATGTGTATTCTCGACACAATGCAGGCGAAGTCATTTTGGGCCTGTCTCCTTCCTCTGCCAATATTAAGTGGCACTGTTTGTACAGTTGGTCTTGTAGTAGCATTGCAACAGTGGTGCAACAAGATATAAAAGTGGCTGAAAATAACAACAGCGTATACAATGTTTTGGCTTTAATACTTTTAGAGGGGTTTAAAGATAAATGAATATATTGTATTCCAATTACTGTAAAGTGGAGTTAACTTAAAGGGGCCGCTACTATGGCAAGTTGTTTTGATGTTTATTTTTTTCACTGGATATGCAATACAATATCTGCAGCTGAATTTAAACTAGTTGTAATTGTAGTTTCAGATATATACAGTTGAATTCTGACTTGTCATAATTCTAGTTCAAGATGACTTTTATTCCCCAGATTTAAAGATGTCTATGGAAGCAGTTCTGTGTACCAGCTGACTAATAAAGTGTTTCCCCTCATTTCTCAGGTGCACCTGATGAACCCAGAGAACGTACCGAAGCCGCGCTGCGCCCCCACCAAGCTTCACGCCATTTCAGTGCTCTACTTCGACGACAACTCCAACGTCATCCTGAAGAAATACAAGAACATGGTGGTCCGAGCCTGCGGCTGCCACTGACAGCTGACAATGACTGGTTCGTGAGGTCGACCTCAGGTAGACACTAGTTTCCTGCCCAAATCCTCAACTTGCAAGGAACGTCCACCCTGAAAGATCATTTCCAGGTTCTTCTCCAACAGCTCAAATTGTCCATCCACCAACATATCTCATCAGAAGGCATCAAAGGGGACCATTGCAAAAATTAAACCATATGGGTGTCATCCAAAGGCAACCTTATTCCAGAGATGAGCCACCTTTTCTATTAGCTGTGGACTGGAGTCTTCCCTTCATGGGTCTGCAACTGATTGAATGACTGTGTGTGTGTGTGTGTGTGCAGGGGAGGAGGGAGCGTTAAAGTTTGTATATTATGTGTTTATTGAAGTGTGTGTATGAATGCCTGAGAGGCTACTGCGCCTTCTCCCTCACTGAGAGGGTGAGGGCCGAACTGAACTGTTGTGGGATCAGTCAGAGTGCTGCTTTCTTTCCTCTCCGACACACAAAAAAAACCAAAACACGGAGGAACAGTTCTCACAAGAGGCTCAAATAATTACTGATGAACTTGTCTACAGATATGACCCTGTGGGGCTGACTCAGTCACCTGCGCAAATCACAGAAATTGTGTATTAACGGTTTGAGTCAGACGGGAAAACACAAGCCCGGTTTTCTTTTCAGCACAAACGTTGTTAACCCAAACAATCTAGTTCTAACTGAATGATACATTGGAGTCAGTACATTCATATTTCCTTCTTCTTTTCCTACTGTATTTTCTTCTCAAGCCATATTTGCCTTCCCAAAATATAATACGGATTGAACCGAAGTGACCGCAGGCTATTTTAGCAGTGCACTACTCCAAATATCCCCTCCGTGTCAATATTTGCCAGGCTCAGGCTGAGCTGCGATTCACCAGGCTGGTTCAACATGATGCATGTTGTGGCTAAACTGATGTTTTTCTCCAAAGAACCGAAGAATACAGCCTTATCCCTCCGACATACCACAAATGGCCATTTCCATGTTGCTGCACTCGCAAAGTTAACAAACGCTTCCACCCCTGACAACCCATCAAGAGATCGTGGAAAAACATTTAGCGAGTCAAAAACAGCCAGCAGCACGGTTTGTGTCAGCTTTCTGAAATTAGCCCTTTGCTTTTTCAACCTCAAGGGTGAAATTATGCTGAGATTTGTGTCCAGCGGCAACGTCTTCCCAGCTGAACATGTTACTGTGAGCTTCGGAATCTTTTAGAGAACATATTTAATTGAAAAACTAATACCAATAAGAATCAAAAGTACCTTATGTGCCTAACCAATCATAAATTACAAAATATACCTCTGGTAAGCTGCTGTTTACATTTGTGATCATGTTTAGACTGTTTTTGTAAATACTTGTACATTCTCAGCTTATTTATTGCACCTTTTATTAAAAAAAAAAAAAAAAAAAAAAAAAACACATACGTTATGAACAGAGACAGATGTCTGCAGTAAGATGGATATACAAAGTCATTTTTGAAAAAAATTTATTACGAAATCTCATGTTACAACTTGCCATTATTCACTCTTTTTGTACAAAATCTATGGGTGGTGCAC